AAAATATATACACAGGGAAGAGATCACACACACACACGTAGGAGATGAAATAAAAGACAGACTTATATATCTCATATATTGTAATAAACATCGACCTCCCCCTCAGAAACAGCCAGAGGGGAAGATGCATTAAGAATCACAAACGAACTAAAGACAGACTTACAAGAAATGTCAAAGTTGCAGAAAATACAATAAAGATCACCGGATTTTTTTTTTTTTTTTTTTTTTTTTAAGGGGGGGGGGTTGGTTGGTTATTTGTGTGTGTTTACTTGGGAAGCCAATTTTCGAAGATTTATTTTAGTTTTTTTTTTTTTTAATCTACCAAAGGCCTTTTTGTCCCAATCTATATTATCAGAAAAAAAAAAAAAAAAAAAAAAGATTCGGCATACAATGGAAGCTGATAAAAGGACATCGTCGTTAATGACGTGATCGAATTCATTAAACTAGAATCCATTAGCTCTTTCTCTACATTATGCATAAAACCAATACCAGGAGAGAATGACGCCCTAAATATATCTTGTTAATTACAAATACCTAAATGTGTTGAAACAAAAAAAAAATGACACTTTATAATTACATGGAAAAAAAAATATTACCAAACTACCCTAGGCTAACGAAACCATGGCTGTCGTGAACCAAAAATGTCTGATATTCAGTTTATTAAATAACTAAGTGACTAATTAATGCCCGCAGCGCAAAAGAGAAATAAGAATAATGGCAATAAATATAATTATGATAATAAGAAAACAATGATAATAATAATAGAATACTAGAAACGATAATAACAATATGGATAGTATTAACCAAGAAGAAATACTTGAATTTGTTACTGGAACCCAAAAGGTATAATAATGTTAATTTAGAAATCAGTTTTTGAACTTTTGAGGGAAAAATTATTTTGAAAAAAAAAAAAAAAAAAAAAGTCGACTGAAAAATCCACTCTCTAACGCCGTAAATACAAGAGGATTTTATTTGAAAATGACGAACGTTTTTTACTTTACTTTAAAACATATAAATCGCGAACTTTTCTTATATCAAATTTTAGAAATCTCTTTCACGAACGTATTGCAACTTAATAACACCATCACCGTTATCCGGGTTGTACTAAAGAACAAGCAATTCGTTTAAAGGAAGAAATATTAGACTTATAACTCTCTCTTTTTTTTCTCCAAAAGAAAACTTCAAATTGCACCTTAATTTTTGTTTTGCTAATAATTTGCGTTTCTTAAATTACGAGAAATATTGATTGCACTTTCGATATTTCCTTTATCTTGCAGAATCTGGTATGAAATGAGCTCAAAATCTGGGTATAAACGCCAAGATGGGAGAGGGGGGGGAGGGCATCGCCAAACCGCCCCCATTCAAAAACCTAAAACACCGTCGTAAGTGAAATTGTGGTCGTGATCCCGTAGACTTCTGCAACGGCGCACGCGTCGTCAGCCAGGCGAGAATTGAACAATACAATTTAGTATTTTTGAAAAAAATAAAAATAAATAAAAATAAAAAGTTTGTGAATGAATTAAACATTCATTAAATAACTGTATATTTTCTTCTTTACTTTAAAAAACTTCTTTTTTTGTTTTGTTTTGTTTTTTTGCCTGACTAACCACGTTTGCATCCAATATCCTTAACCTAGCCAACCTACTGTATCCCAGAATATATATATATATATATTTACACAAAGTGGAAATATAAATTTTTACTGACGTAAGAACTGCGTTACGATAATGAACGATGTTTGCCCTGAACGTTTGTTTCGATTATCATACAAAATATTCCATGACATATACTGGAGGTTTTCCCAGTACACTGAAAATTAGCAACACGAATGACAAAATCTTTTGCTAACGAAATTGCATAATACGGTTAACTTCCTTTTTCGTGTATTTCATCAAAATTTACGAAGAAACGAAACGAAACGCCGAAACGTGACGCCACGATAGAAAAAAAAATGGCGCTTACCAGATTCTCAAAAAATAATAATAAATAAAATAAATAAACCAATAAAACAAAAAATGACCTAAAAAAAATAATAAAATCATCTTCTTGATATGAAATGAGTATCAAAAACTTTCGTTCGGGACATTGAAAGGCATACCTGGTTGTGGACTCAAGAATTTTACGAAATTAAACGAGATACTATTATTTACGGAGAAAACAAAAATGAAAATAAATGTAACATCTATACCAAAGAATATGGACATTTCATAAAAGAAAGAGAGAGAAAGAGAGAGAGAAAGAAAGGACGAAAGGAATAAAAAATATGTCTTAAATATTATACAATCAATAATAAAAAAAATGACAGATCAATGCAAGGCTCACATCCTATAGGCCAATATTCGAAAAAAAATATGGAACGAAACTTAAAAAAAAGGAAAGACACATAAACAATAATAAAATAAATAAAAAATAAAAAACAGAGATAGGTTCTACTAACAATTCCTTTTTTTTCACTTTACACATCAATTTCATATCTTATCGTTCAAGTCCTGAAGGGAAGCCGCAAGGGGTGGAATATTGGCCCGAGAGATGTGGAATACGAAATAAAAAGAGGAAAAACGATACGAAAAAAAAATCGACAGTTTAGTGAAGGGTCGCTATCCTGTGCGCTTTCATGCTACGAAATGGAGGTCACTTTGCGAAGAGGAAATGGAAGATAAGAAGATTAAAAAAAATAAATAAATAAAAGATAGAAAAAAAATAAAAAGAAAGGGAGTGGAAACTCTAAAGAAAAATATAAAGAAAATAAAAAAGTAAGCATAAGAGCAATAAAGACATAAATGAAATAAAAGAAGAGAGATACGAAAAAAAAAATTGAGAAGAAAGATAGAGGAAACTTGTTAAAAATAGACATAAAGGAAACAAAAACAAAAAAAAAAAGCACATATTTCTTCCCCATTTGCTGTGTATAATGGTAAAAAAAAAACGAAGTGTCTGGATGTTTGACAAGAAAAATTACAAGAGAAAAAAACGAAAGAAAGGAGAGAGAAAAAGATAGAAAAGGAAAACATGTGGATTAAACCTGTGCTTGGGATACGCCCTCGTTTGACAATTTCAAAAAAAAACAAACTTAATCCTGCACCGTCAAAGATCATCTTTTTGCAAGAAAAAATAAAGACAGTTTATATGTATATCAGAAGAGACGAAGAGAGAGAGAGAGAGAGAGGAAAAAGGGCGAACAAAGAGAGAGAGAATAAAAGAGGCGAACAAAGAGAGACAGAGAAAAAAAAGAGACGAAAAGAGAGATAGAAAGAGAGAAAAAGAAAAAAAAGAGAAAACCAAATATACAAACATAAATGAGGAAAAAAAAATAGTTTTAAAAAAGCCAAAAAAAAAAAAAAAAAAAAAAAAAAAAAAAATCATTCCATTAACCACACAATAGACCTCAACAAGATTTAAAAAGTCAAAAAAAAAGAAAAAAAAACACACGAAGAGAATAGAAAAACAAAAAAATATCAATGCCATCTTCGAAAACAGACACAAGAAAACTTCAAAAACAAGTCTTCCGCAAAACAAATGAAACTAAACAAATATATATATACATCTAACTTTACACCTTAGTGCTAAAAAAAAACAATATATCAATGCCATCTTCGAAAACAGACACAAGAAAACTTCAAAAACAAGTCTTCCGCAAAACAAATGAAACTAAACAAATATATATATACATCTAACTTTACACCTTAGTGCTAATAATGCCCAGTTAAACCCCAAGGACCAACTCGTCCAGAACGGTACACGACAGGAACGGTCTGTGTTAAGTGGTGGGTGAAAGACCTCGCTTCACGTATATAAGTATATAAGTAATATATATAAGTAAATAAGTATTGGGAAAAGACTAATCAAAAGTAAATTAGTATATGAAAGCGTAACCACATTCGTAAATCAAACCTTTAAACACAATGCTGTAAATAAAAACACATAGATTAAAATTAATGACAAAATAGAAAGAATGGGTCGCTAATTTTTCTTTTTTCTCTACATAATCACAAAGAATAAACTAAAAAACAAGACGGAGAAGAACAAAAAAAAAAGAAAAAAAAAAAAAAGCGAATCGAATAATGTGTTCGGATACGCTCTTCAAAGCCATGCCTTTCGCTCACCGTTCTTTTTTTTTCCTTTTAGTTGCGTGGAATTTCAAAAATCCCTTTAAGAAAAAAAACTAGACAACTTAAACACTAGCTATATATAGTCTATATGTCAGAATAAGAATTATATTAGAATAAAAAATAAAAAAAATACAGGGGAAAGAAAGGTGTTCATCTTGCAACAATACGAACGACTGTCCAGTTGCAAGAAATAACGCAAGAAATGGCTGCCAATGACAGAAAACAAGTAATATATACAGAAACATATATAAAAAAAAGAAACTAACATTACTGAATCCTTATTTTCATTAAAAAAAAAAGGAGGAGGAGAAAGAGAGAAGTGTAAAATACAATAAAATGTCTGTGCCTTGCAACATTCTTCAACACTCAACCAACTGTTTCCCTGAATCTCAATGCAAGAAGGGCACGCATTTGAAACAACCCAATTATGATAGCTAATTAATTGACCCACCAGCCAGACCTCAACCTTGCCTTTACTTCCTTCATTCTGTTCGTGCAATTTCCTTCACGAAAAAAAAAGAAAAAAAAAATAATAATCAATTTAAAAAGTCAACTCTTAAACCCTAAAAATAAAAGAACACGAAAGATGAATCAAACTACCTTTAACATAACAACTCTTGCCTCAAAAAAAAAAAAAAAAAAAAAAAAAAAAAAAAAAAAAAAAAAAAAAAAAAACTCAAAATGGCAAAGACGAAAATGAAAAAAACCCTTCTTTTTAAACCACAAAGTACAACTGATAACAACACGAAGAAAACGCTGGCACCCTGGATCACTTCCCTCAATTGGTCTATCTTCGCGCACGCACACACACACACACATAGAGAATATATATACAAACGCCTTGAATCTCCACCAAAAAGGGATATGTAGATAATTTTTTTTTATTATTCCTCCACATTAGGGACAGAGAGAGAAGATGCAATTCTAAAATCTAACTTTGTGTTTACATAAAAAGTCTCATCAATTTCAACACTCCACACACGGGTCTTGTTGCCTTAAGAAAGAAAGAAAGAAAGAAAGAAAGAAAAAAAAAGAGTCTTCGTGGAATCGACTTTTTTCTTTTCTCTTCTTTTTCTTTTTTTCTTTTTTTTTTTCTTTTGAAACATCCTTCACAATATCCTTAGCAAAAATGACTAAAACTACGGCAAATCCTAGAGTTGTTTTTTTGTTTTAATATAATGTTTTTTTTTTTTTGCTTTAACATTAACAATAACATTTGAAAAGAAAAAAAAATGTTCATTCTCTTTATAACACAGAGTCACAGATCATGTTTTTTTTATTCCCTTTTATTTCAGGGATATTTATGACCTTTCGAGAAAGAGAAAGAAAAAAAAAATCTAAGTCCTCGAAAGTCTTTCTTTTTCACAAACACCCTTTCCAGAAAATTAAAATAATAATAATAATAATAATGTTAATATCAATAATTAAAACTAACAATTAAAAAAAAAAAAACATTTGACAAGGACGAGATCAGCAAAATGGAGCCTTCTGTACACTCACCATAAGGCTCCTTCTCGTTACAGTACTTCCAAATTCCTATCCAACGCTCTTAGGCAAAACTTTTTTTTTTTTTTTTTTTTTTTAGGATTTTTTAGTAACCATCTTTTTTTTTTTTTGGTAAATAGTTGGTTGTTACCTCACGCGATATACTCTGAAAAAGTGGGAGAGAGAAAGAAAGAAAGAGAGAGAGAGGGAGAGAGAGAGTAACCACTTAACTCTCATTCTCCCCTCTTCGTCGCACGGGCAAAGCCAACGATAACTGTTGTATGTGTGTGTGTGTATGTGTGTATGTGTGTGTGTGTACCGTGTGTGTGTGTGTGTATCTGTCTGTCTGTTCCAATTCCCATACAATCCTTATGGGAACGCAAGCCAATTAAACAATGCCAGTCGGTTTACGTAATGCCTCAAAAAGCCTGTGGTATGTTCATATATATTTATATATATATTTTTTTTTATACAAGACTCTTAAATACGCCCTAATGCCCTTAATTACAGTACAATCCTCACTGTAAAGACTGGGAGGGTGTTCAAATCGTATGATTAAGAACTTCAGCATACTTAAGAACAAACAACTGGGCAGGGGACAAGATAGGGCTATATTACCACTATGCATAAGACCCAACCACTTAATGCTAAACCTTAAAGAAATGACCCTTATTGACATACACACACATCCTGCACCAACGAGTCCCCAGCCCAGCGTTATGTTGAGGACACACTGTACATAAGTTCCAAATTCCTTTGCTTCAGTAAACTAGTATGAAAATAATGCTTCATACAAAACTTCTTCAATATCAGAAACTCGATATTCACAAACTCCAGAATAAATTAAAAAGCAGCTAAAATAGTCACTACTCTTGCTCTGAAAGGCACTTTGTTTTGTGTATGTGGTAGTCGCTACGTTGGTTCTAGATTTGCAAGTTTGGTTTTTTGATATACTGTAGGTATATAGTATGTAGATATACGCATATCTATATATATACTGTAGAAGATTCCTCAGCTGCTTATACCTTCATATGATATGATAATATACACTTCCCTTTTAAATATAGACCATTCTAATTATAATTAGAAATTAAATAAAACTTGACCAATATACTCTGCGAGTAGTATTCTCTCCGAAGACTATAAGAATGCTCCTAAAAAGCCCTGTTCCTAAGCCTCTCGCGCCCCTCTGCGGGACTCTATGTACATCTCAAGCACAAGTGGTTAAACTGTGTCTGTACCTTGGAAGAAGCGAAACCTAACTCTAAGATTTACAAAGAATTAAAAAAACAAACAATGGGGGGAGGGAAAAGAACGAGAGATGAATGTGTTCAAGGAGAGGTTTGTTTGTGTGGCTGTGTGTGAATGGGCTTGTGTCCGTGTGGTGTGTCCGTGTGGGCGTGCGGGCGTGTTTTCTGTTCTCGGGGAGACGGGAGGGGGTGGGGGGCGCCCTCTGGAGGTCCCGCGGTCTCTCCTTCGCCGGGCGGCCCCCCGCGGCGGCGCCCCTGCGTGCGGCGGCTCCCCCCTCAGTGTTTCTTGAGTTTCTTGGTGAGGTACGAGTCCTGGTAGTGGCCGCCGATGCCCTGCGAGTGCTGGCCCACGTAGCCGTTCTCGGGCGACGGCTCGGGCGACGGCAGGATGTGGTTGCTCTTGCGCTTGTGACCGATGGGCGTGGTGTAGCCGGCGTGCGGGGGCGCGGGCCCGAAGGAGTGCGCGGGCGGCGCCATGCCCTTGGTGGGCGTCAGGTAGAGCGGGTTGAGGAGGCGAGGGTGGGGGGGGAGGGCGGCGGGGTGGAGGATGGGCGGCTGCAGCAGGGCCGGGGGGGGAGCCATGGGCGGGGGAGACCACGAGGTGGTGACCCTGGAGGTGACGGGGGAGGCGAACAGGAAGGCGGGGGCGGACGAGACGGGGGGCGGGGGCGGCGGCTGCTCCATGGGCGGCGGGGCCAGGTGGGCGGGGATGTAGGCGGCGGCGGGGTGCTCGGGGCGGAGCGGGCCGTCGCCCAGCAGCGCGGGCTTGGCCGGCTGCGCCGCCGCCGTCAGCAGCATGGACATGAGGGGGCTGGAGGGGTACAGGGGAGGCGGGGCCGACGTGCTGATGTGCGGCGGCGGAAGCAGCGTCGCCGCCGACACCAGCGCCGCGTGGCTCGCGTCCAGGGGCGGCGCGGGCGGCGGCGCCTGCGGCTGCTGCTGCAGCTGCTGCGGGTGCGGCTGCGGCTGTGGCGGCGGCGGCTGCTCGTTGGCGGTGAGGGTGCCGAGCAGCTGCTGCAGGCTGTGGGCGTTGGAGAGCAGCGTGGAGATGGTGCCCTGCAGGTCGTCCTTGGTGGCCTTGGGGGCGGCCAGGCCGGGCAGGCTGGTCAGCAGCCCCGACAGGAGGGGCGTGAGGCCGTTCTCGCCCTCCCCCCCGCCGGCCCCCGCCCCGCCCTCCTCCCAGCCCCCGCCGTAGCCCCCGGAGCCCGGCGTCGGCAGCAGCGGCGTCTGCGGAGGGAAGCGTCAGTCAGGCGGCGTCGCAGGGAAATCGTCGCGAGGGAAAAGCTCAGATATGATTCACAAACGAAGATTCGCAAGAGAAAGGAACAAGGAAACGCTCTGCCTACCTTGGCGGGTTTGTTGACGCCGTTCTTGCTGTACCCGTTTCTGTAGTTGGGCTTCATGCTGGCGGCGCTGGCGGCGGCGGCGGCGCCCTGCGGCTTGGAGTAGCCGTTGGTGGCCTCGGGCGCGGGCGCGCGGTGGGGCGTCGCCTGCGGGTCGCCCTGCTGCACCAGCGACTGCAACAGGTTGAGCACGTGCGGGCTGGCCAGCAGGTTAGCCCCGCTGGGCGCGCCCTGCTGCTGCGACTGCTGCTGCTGCTGGTTCTGCTGTTGCTGCTGCTGGAGCTGCATCTGGGCGGCCAGCAGGATGACGAGGGCGGCCTGGGCGTTGGTGTTGAGCACGGTGGCGCTGGAGGGGGACGCCGGCCGCGGCGGCGGCTGCGGCGGGCGCACCGAACTCGTGCTGGTGGGCGGCCTCGGCCCCCGGGGAGGGCCGGGGGCTGGGGGCGGCACGGGGGGGCCGCCCTCCCCGGGGTTCACCCCCAGCGACTGGATCTGCGTCAGGATGATGTTCTGCAGGCTGGTGGCGACTGCGGGAGACGGGAAAGGTTACGCTCCTTCTGGGCTCGCTCTCGCTCTCTCTCACACACACACACACATTAAAGAAAAACGAGAAAGAGAGAGAGAAAAAAAACAACAACACTTTTTACACGAACACACACTCAAACATCATTAAATATCATTAAACACGCTTTGAGATCCATTAAACTGTAACTAATGAACGACAATGCTGCCTGACTCTAACATTTTACTCTCTCGAAGTCATAAATGGGTTTCCAAGTTGAACAAATATAGAAGATGCATAATTCATAATGTCTAAGAAGAGGGAGGAGAGAAGGGAGAGGAGAGAGGAGAGAGAAAAGAGGACAGAAGAAAGAGGAGAGAGGAGACGGAAAAGACGAGAGGAAATAACAGATGATAACAAAGGATAACAGGAGTAACAGAGAGAGAGAGAGAGAGAGAGAGAGAGAGAGAGAGAGAGAGAGAGAGAGAGAGAGAGAGCCCCCCCCCCCCTCCACAATACAGCCACACGAAACGGCCAGTATAACAAGGTGTTTACAGCCTCCGGGCCTCACGAGCTGCCCGAGTTACTAATCCCAATCTGTTATTCAATTAAAACCATTTAAGTTCTTTCCCCTCTCTCTCTTCCCGTCTCTTCTCTTCTCCTCTCCTCTCCTCTCCTCTCTTCTCTTCTCTTCTCTTCTCTCCTCCCTCCCCATCTCCCGTTCCCTCTCCCTCCACCCCTTCCCTCTCTCGCTCCCCCTCCCTCCCTCCCCCTCCCTCCCCTCCCTCCCTCTGTCAAGGGCTGGCTTTAACCTCCTCCGTATCCTGCAACAATTGCAACTTGTCTTCCCTGCCTTTCGCTTCTTAAATGTTCAACTGATAGTTTCGTTGCAACGCTTGCACGCAGGCAGAGGGCAGGAGCGCTGTGGCGAATGCTTATATGTGCAGTGTGAGCGTCTATGTGCGTATATGTATGTAAATGCAGGCATATTGATGCGAATCTGTGTGTCTGTATGTTTGCGTGTGCGAGTGAGTGTGAGTGTGAATGTGTGCTTGTGTTTGTATGCATGTGTGTGTGTGTGTGTGTGTGTGTGTGTGTGTGTGTGTGTGTGTGTGTGTGTGTGTGTGTGTGTGTGTGTGTGTGTGTGTGTGTGTGTGTGTGTGTGTGTGTGTGTGTGCGCGTGTGCGTGTGCGTGTGTTTGTGTGTGTGTGTGTGTGTGGACATGCATGCAAATGCTTTCATATACATATACCGTACACATACTGAATATACCACGTACATGTATACATGCATATACATATCCAAACCCACCTACATACATAAAGTTACGGAAAGCAAAGAGCAGAAACGGCAGCGAACGATGAAAACTGAGAGACCAAAATCCACAACAAAGGAACAACACTAGCCTACCATCTGTATGTTCTCTCTTCCTATATCTGTCTGCCAGACGGACACCCCACCCTCATAACCCCTCCCCCTCCCGCACCCCACCCCAACACACACGCCAGACAAACAGACAGACAGACTCTTCAGCGGACTTACACGCAGGGTTGTGTTTGGTGAGATTCTGCAGTTGCGAAAAGACCTTATTGGCTGGCGGCTCGGGGAGCAGCGCCGATTTCTTCTTCAAACCCTGCGGAGAGAGACAACAAGAGTGGGTCAAAATTACATACAGAATGGGGGAAATATATAATGATTAGTTATAGTGAAAACGGGGGGGGGGGGGGGGGGTAAATATAAAAAAAATGGAAGAGGGGGATACATAGATGAGGAAGATGGAGAAAATATGGAGAGAGGGAGAGGGAGAAGGAGAAGGAGAAGGAGAAGGAGAAGAGAGAGAGAGAGAGAGAGAGAGAGAGAGAGAGAGAGAGAGAGAGAGAGAGAGAGAGAGAGAGAGAGAGAGAGAGAGAAAGTGAGAAAGAAAGAGAAAGAGAGAAAGAAAAAGAAAGAAAGAGAGAATGAAAAAGAAAGAAAGAGAGAAAGAAAGATTGAGAAAGAGAGAGAGGGAGAGAGTGGAAAAAAGTGTACAAAGAAAGAAAGAGGAGAAGAAAACACAATAAGAAAAAGAAAATAACATTAATACACTGATGGTACCTGATTCCTCTATTTCTCTTTAAAGACATCACATTGTGTCTCCTTCCCCCCCTCCCCTCTCCCTCCCTCCTTCCCCTCTCCCCTCTCCCCCCTTCAATCTTCCCTTAGACTCAACATGCATTCTAAGTTCTTCCCCAAATTTGAAGACTCAGCATAATTTGTGGGGAAGGGGGGGGGAGGGGGGGTTAAGAATAATAAGAGCCTGATTCCCTTCCCCCATTATCTTCCCTCCTCCTCCTCCTCCTCCCCCTCCTCCTCCTCTTTTCTTCCCCCTCCTCTAACCCCCTTCATGTCCCCTCTCACCCCTCCTTCCCCCCTTCCCCACTTAGCCCACCTCCCCTCTCATCCCTCCCTCCCCTTTTCCCCTCCTCCCCCCCCCTTCCTCCCCTACTTACGAGGCAGGTCAAACTTATCATCTGAGTCGCTGGGGCATTCTGCTGCTGTCTGCTGTTTATAAGGGATCAACAGCGGCCTGCGGGATTTGGGACGATTTTCGCTCTCTCTCTCCCTTTCTCTCTCCCTCTCCCTCTCCTTCTCCTTCTCTCTCCCTCTCTATCTCCTTCTCTCTCCCTCTCCCTCTCCTTCTCTCTCCCTCTCCATATCCTTCTCTCTCCCTCTCTATCTCCTTCTCTCTCCCTCTCCCTCTCCTTCTCTCTCCCTCTTTATCTCTTTCTCTCTCCCTCTCCCTCTCTATCTCCCTATCTCTCCCCTTCTCTCTCTCTCCCTCTTCCTGTCTCTCCCCTTCTCTCTCCCTCTCCCTCTCTCTCCAGCTCTATCTCCTTCTCTCTCCCATTCTCTCTCTCTCCTTCTCCTTCTCTCTCCTTCTCTCTCCCTCTCTCTCCCCCGCTGATTAATTCAACGAAATGAAATGACACAATTGCCCCAATCGCATTCTAATTCAAAATCAGGGTGAGGGGAAGGGGGGGGCGAGAGGGGAAGGGAGGGGCAAGGAGGGGAAGGGAGGGGCGAGAGGGGAAGGGAAGTGGGAGGGAGGACGATTAGAAGTGAAAATAGGGAGAAGGAAGGAAGGTGGAGGAGGCTGCAGAGAGGGAAAGGGGCAGGAGAAAGAGAAAGGAGGAACAGGAGAGGAAAGGAAAGGAGGGGCAGGGGGGAGGGGGGGAAGGGGAAGAGGAAGAGAGGGGGAGGGAAAAGGGGAAAGAGGGGGGAGGGAGAGGAGGGGGAGGGGCCGGGGGGAGGGGGAAGGAGAGGGGGGAGGGGGAAAGAGAGGGGGGGAGGGGCATAGCATGGTCGACAATCGCCGTCGTTATTAAAAGGGATAAATTGCAAACGGCGCCTGCAACATCTTGTTATTGCAACGTTCGCCACCCTGAGCGCGAGGTTATTCTACTAAGGGTGAATAAAGGTCCGTTTTAAATAACCCCTCTTCCCCTACCTCCTCCCCTCCCCCCTTACCCCTTCCCTCATCCCCCCTTCCCCTTTCCCTCATCCCCCCCTTCCCCGTTTTTGCTTTTTATTTTTCCTCTTTTATGGACTCGGGAGGGGGAAGGGGAGGGGAAAGGGGGAGGGGGAGGGGAAAAGGAGAAGGGGGAGAGGGAAGGAATTGGGGTCTTCACTTTCCCTCTTCCCACTTTCGTCGCCCCCTCTCGACCTCCCCCTCCCCCGCCCCCACCATAACCATCATCCCCACCACCAACACTCCCTTCCCCTTCCTCTCCCTCCCTCACCACCATACTACCCCCGCCCTCTCCCCCACCCCCACCCCCACCATCTCCTTACCCCCCACCACCACCACCATCTCCTTCCCCCCCCCACCCCCACCACCATCTCCTTTCCCCCCCCCCACCACCACCATCTCCCCCCCCCCCCCCAACACAAGGGCTCCGAGCGCGGCGACCGAATTATGACTTAAAATTGAATTCATTGAGACGGCGATAAGTCATCAATCCTCCGTTAATTAACTCATGCGATAATGGGGCCCATTAAACAGGGGAGGGGGGGGAGAGGGGGAGAGGGGGGGAGGCGCTCGTGCAACGAAGTTAACACCCCGGCTAACGATGGGGGCACGGGGGGAGGGGGGGATGGGCAGGAGTCGCTAATGGGGGGAGGAGGAGGGGGCGTTAATGGGGGGGAGGGGGAAGGAGAGAGAGAGGGGGGGGGCGAATTGACAAGGACAGGTCGATTATTGGAGATAGCGGAGATCTTGTTGGGGGGGGGAGGGAGAGAGAGAGAGAGAGAGAGAGAGAGAGAGAGAGAGAGAGAGAGAGAGAGAGAGAGAGAGAGAGAGAGAGAGAGAGAGAGAGAGAGAGAGAGAGAGAGAAGAGGAAGGAAAGGGAAGAGGAGATGGGGAGCAAAAGAAAAGGAGAGAAAGTGAGAGATAACAAGGGAAGGGAGAGGGAGAGAAGAGGGAGAGAGGAAAGGGTAAGAGAGAGAAGGAGAAAGGGTTAAGAATTCCCCCCTCCCCCCCCCCCCCTTCCGTTTCAAGGAGAGGTGGAGAGGCACACGAGATTTTCATATATATGTTAATAGACGGAAGAACTTCGCATAACGGGTACTTGGGCGGCCCCGTATTTCTCCCTTTCTCTCTTTCTCTCTCTCTCTCTCTCTCTCTCTCTCTCTCTCTCTCTCTCTCTCTCTCTCTCTCTCTCTCTCTCTCTTCTCTTCTCTTCTCGTTTCTCTCATTTTCTCTGTCTCTCTCTATTCCTCTTCTTTTCTGTCTCCGTTTCTGTTTTTCTTTACTTCTTTTCTCTGTGTGTCTCTCTCTATCTATTATTCTGGTTCTCTTTATACGTCATTCACTATCTCTTTTTCTCTGTCCATCTATCTTCATCAACCTTTACCTATCTGTTTTATCTATTTCTATCTCTATCTACCTATCTAACAATGTATTTCCCTTCCTCTCCCTCTCCTCTCCCCTTCCCCTCCCTCTTCCTTCTCCCCTCTTTCCCTCTTCCTTTCCCCTCCCTCTACCTTCTCCCCTCTTTCCCTCTTCCTTTCCCCTCTTTCCCTCCCTCTTCCTCTCTCCCCTTCCCCTCCCTCTTCCTTCTCCCCTCGTTCCCTCTTCCCTTCCCCCAATATTTTATTATCCGAAATTCTGTTTATATTCTTTTTTTTTCTTGTTAATAAGCGACGGAGCGCCATTGTAATTGGTTTCCTTTAATGTTCTCTCTCATTATCCCACTTTTATCCTATTCATTCTCTTGTTCTTCTCTTCTCTTTTATCCCCTTTTATTCACCTTCTATCCCTATCCCTTTTCCCCTCCCTTTCAACCCTCCTACTTTCCCCCATTCCCTCTCTTCACCCCTTCACCCTTACCCTTCCTCCCCCAACCTTTCCTTCCCCTCCCCTTCGTCCTCCCCACGTCTTCCCTTTTTTCTTCCCTCACCCCTTTCGTCTTCCTTTTCCCCATCCCCTCTCATCCCTCCCCCATAATCCCTACTCCCCCCTCCCCCCCGAAATCCTTAACGCCACTCCTACCCCCTACCCTTCACCCTTAACCCTCCCATCCCCCTCATCCTTCACCCTAAACCCCTACCCCCCCCCTCACCCTTAACCATCCCTAACCCCCCTCACCCCTCACCCTAACCATCCCTACCTCTTCACCCTTCACCCCACCCCACCCCTTCACCCTTTACTCTCACCCCTCACCCTTCACCCCAAACCCACCCTCGCCCCCTCATCCTTCACCCCAAACCCCCCACCCCCTTCACCCTTCACCCTCACCCCACCCCACACTTACCGGATCGCTGAGGATCTTCATGTAGATGTTGATGGCCCTGACGCCGGGGATGCAGTACTGGACGCGGATCCTCTGGCCCCGAAGGACGTAGTTGTGCAGCGACGACTGCGTCTCCTCGGCGTCCTCGGCGTTGATGAACTCCACCAGACCCCAGTCCTGGAGGGCGCCGTTCCGCATGGCGATCTGCGGGAGGGGCGGAGGGGGGTTAGCGCTGCGGAGGGATGGGGGGAGGGAGGTGGAGAAGGGCTGGGGGAAGGGGGAGGGGGGAGGTGGAGGAGGTGGGGGAGGGGGAGGAAGGGGAGGAAGGGAGGAGGAGGAGGTGGTGGGGGAGGAGGAGGAGGAGGAGGAGGAGGAGGAGGAGGAGGAGGAGGAGGAGGAGGAGGAAGAGGGGGGAAGGAGGAAGGGGAAGAGGGTGGGAGGAGGAGGAGGAGGAGGAAGGGGAGGAGGGGGGAAGGAGGAGGAGGAAGGGAAAGGGTTGGGGGTGAGGAGGAGGAGGAGAAGGAGGAGGATGGTGGATGCAAAGTGGGTGATGATGATGATAACAACGATGATAACGATAATAATGATGGGTGATGAAAATGATGATAATGACAATAACAAAGTCAATAGTATTTACAAACCCACAACAGCAATGGCAATAACGCTAGTATTACTAGAAATAATTCCCTTCCCTTCCCTTCCCTTCCCTTCCCTTCCCTTCCCTTCCCTTCCCTTCTCACCTGGCAGTACGGAGGGTTGGTGACCTTGCTGAAAATCCGACGGAACTCGCCCATGTCGCGGTAGTCCTTCGGCAGCTGGTCGACGTAGAGGCAGGTGGAGTGCAACGAGGCGAAGGTCACGTGACTCGGATCCAGCCAATCACAGACCAGCACCGTGTCCCTCGTCTCGCGCCCGTCCAGCACCGACTTCGCCTGCAGGGCCACCTCCTTCGTCACGTACTCCACGAAGCCGTAGCCTTTGCTCTCTCCTGAAGGGGGCGCGGGTGGGGGTGCAGGAGGAGGAGGAGGAGGAGGGGAGAAAAAAATGAGATCGTTAGGTCGTGGTTTTCATGATAGGGATGATGGTGAGAGTACGTTGTTGTTGTTGTTGTTGTTGTTTTTGCTGCTGCTGTTGTTGTTGTTGTTGTTGTTGTTGGTGGTGGTGGTGGTTGATGGGGGTGGGCGTGGTGTTAAAGATGGTGATGGTGATGATGGTGATGATGATGATGATAATGGTGATAATTATAATGATAATTAATGGTAATGATAATGTTCATGATGTTAATGTTTATTTCTATTGGTATCCCTGTCTCTGTGTGCATTTTGGTGGACATTTCATTAATTTCTTATCAAGGTCCCTAGAAAATTAATCAGTTTTATTAGTCCTCCGCCTGTACATACGCACTAACTTCATCTGCAAATACGCAGAAGTTATATTTTAAAAAGAAAGAGGTTTATATTAGGTTACAAAGTGGCAGTACATATATGTTCTACGAAAAATTAACAAGCACACACACACACACAAACATGCAAACGCAAACACACACACACACACACACACACACACACACGCCGCATCATTCCACTGAAAAAAACGCAATAAACAAAAAACGCTTCTAAAATAAATGTAATAATGAACAATTAATCACCCCAAAAAAGTAAACTCACAACGAAGAGAAAAGGAAAAAAATAGAAAAAAAGCGCCGTTCTCGCAAAATAAAGGAAAAAAATAACGAAAACATAGAATATTCAAAACAACAATAAAAATGAAAACAAACAAAAAAATGTAAATTAAAAAACTAACTGGACTTCTGGACGAAACAAAAGAAACGCATCTCTTTGAAGGTGAGAGAGAAAGAGAGAGAGAGAGAGAGAGAGAGAGAGAGAGAGAGAGAGAGAGAGAGAGAGAGAGAGAGAGAGAGAGAGAGAGAGAGAGAGAGAGAGAGAGTGCGCGCGCCTATGCGTATGCGTGTGTGCATGCGTATCCGTGTGCGTGTGCATGTGCACGCGCTTGTACGTTTACGTGCGCGTGCGTATATGTGAGCCAACAACAGACACAGAAATCGGGGCCGAAACGGAAATAATTAAACAAACACAAAATAAATGCGCCTTTTCCCACCTGCAGCTGGCCGAAGCGAGCCGCCCAAAGAGGACCGAATGAAAAACAAACACACAAACAAGTAAATCTTTACAAAAAAACACGCACTGCGGCCGAGATAATAGTCCACTCACTGTGCCGAGCGATTCGTGTGCGGGGCGGAAGCGGCGAAAGAATAAAGCAAACAGTAACGAAATGGCACAATGAATAAATTACTGAGATAACGGAGTAGGGGGTGACAGAGGCAGACAGACAGACAGGCAGACAGGCAGACAGACAGACAGACAGACAGAATGACAGACAGAGGCAGACAGGCAGACAGACAGAATGACAGATAGAGGGAGACAGATAGATTAACAGACAGACAGAGAGAAAAAGGAGAGGTAGGGAGCGAAAGAGAGGAAGGGAGGGAGGGAGGGAGGGACTAAAACCAAAAACAAATGATATAAACAGATAACTAAGAAAAAAGAAAGAAAAGAAAATACGTAGGAAATACATCGAAACGGGAAAGATGGAAGAGGAAGGGGAAGGGGAAGGGGAGGAGGAGAAGGAGGGGGGGGGGGATAAGGAGGGGAAGGCCAGGTTCGTTTACCCGATTTTCTGTCCGAATTTTCTCTTTCCTCTTTTTTTCTTTCTTTCTTTCTTTCTTTCTTTCTTCTTCCCAAAAGTTTACGTTAACTTCGATGTTAATTCGTTTAGTTCTTGCCGAGGTCATCCTTTGATGGCTAGGGGGCGGGGGGCGGGGGGGGGGGTATTCAGGGGGGGAGAGGAGAGGATAGAAGGACGAAGGGGGGGGGAGGGGGAGAAGAAGGGAGAAAGGGGTTAGGGTTAAGGGGTGGGGGGGTGAAGAAAGAGGAAGGGGGAAGAGGTAGAGGAGAAGGAGGAGGAGGAGGGAGGAAAGGGAGGAGAAGGAGGGAGGAAGGGATAGGGGGTTAAGGAGAAAGATAAACGGGGAAGGGAGAAGGGAGGAAGGAAGAAGGGAGGGAAGGGGGGAAGGGAAGTGCCCTACAACTGGACAAAAACAGGGAGGGGAGGGGAGGGGAGGGGAGGGGAGGGGAGGGGGAGGGGGAAGGGAAAAGGGAGAGAGTTCAGACGGGGAGGAAAGTTAATGGCAGGACCTAATGGGGTACGAGATGGTTGGGGGTACAGAAGGGGGGGGGAAGGGGGAAAGAAAGGGGGTGGGGGAGGGAAGGATTAAGGGACACGGGGGGTGGGGGAGCACCAGGGAGAGGGGGGGAGGGAGCATGGGACACGGGGGGGATGGGGGGGGGTTAATGAAGGGATGGTGTGTCCGCTTTGATCTTTTCTAGGATTGGATGTTGTGTCTTTTTGGGTGTGTTTGTTTGTCTTTATCATTATTATTATTATTTCTTCTATTCTCTTTTATTTTTTCCTTTTCTCTGTTCATGTTCCTTTCTTTCTTTCTTTTTTATTTTATTCATTCTTCTTCTTCTTCTTCTTCTCTCTCTCTCTCACACACATCCTCACTCACTCACTCATCCACATGCTCATCCTCACTCACTCACTCACTCACTCACTCATCCACATCCTCACCCTCACACCCTCACATCCTCACTCACACACTCACTCACTCACTCATCCACATCCTCACCCTCACACTCTCACATCCTCACTCACACACTCACTCACTCACTCACTCACTCACTCATCCACATCCTCACCCTCACACCCTCACACCCTCACTCACACACTCACTCACTCACCCTCCAACCCACCTGTCTTCTCTGAGCGCATGAGGAAGCAGTAGGACACCTCTCCCAGCGACCCGACGAGGCCCGCGAAGTCCTCCTCGGTGTGGTCGAGGGGCAGCCTGGAGACGCACAGGAGACCCTCGGTGTTGGAGGGCGAGATGGTGACCTTGTGGCCCCGGAAAGTGTGCTGCGACGACTTGGCCCACGTCTCCAACACCTCCGGTTCCGCCAGGAGGACTCGCGCCGTGCCGTTGGAGGGCGTGATCTGAACGCTGTGGACCAGGTAGCCAGACAGCAGGTCGCGGACTTCCTGTAGAGAGAGAGAGGGGGGGAGAAGGGGGGGAGAAGGTTAGTAGGTTGATTCGTATATTGCAAAGAGAGTGATTGGCGTATTGCACAATCGTTATCAACAATCTTGAAATCAAATCCGTCGCAATAAAATATAGATAATGATGTACATACTCAACCCCTCACGACTACCCAATGCAAAGACAAAAACAAGAACACAAACAAATACAAACAGACAAACAACCGAAGACGCCCCTCCCCCCCATCTCCCTCACCCTTTTTCTATTCCCCCCATCTCCCTCCCCCCCTTTCACTTCCCCCATTTCCCTCACCCTCTTTCTCTTCCCCCCCCATCTCCCTCCTTCCCCCCACCTCCCTATTTCCCCCATTCCCTCCCCCCCCCATCTCTCGCCCATCTCCGTCCTCACCCCCACCTCCCCCCCCAACCCGTCGCTAAAGGCCAAATCAAGGACCACGCCCACCTGCACCTGACAGTCCCAACGGGCGTCGCCATCAAAACGGCCGCCGACCAT